TCAAATTCCCACACCAACAGCTTTGCTCTACTCAAAATCCTTGTTGGTTGAGTGGGTGCAAGTGTAGGAAAAGAGGAGGGAGAAATTGGGGCGGGGGTGGGAGGGTTTAATGTCATACTTTTTTTCTGTTTCAGTTCAGGGAAAAAGAAAAGCGTTATCACTCTGAAGAGAATTATAGGTGGAATGGAGCTGAGGCTCAAATGGTGAAGTGCTAGCCTTGAAATGCTACGGGACAATACCTAGGCCCTGAATTCAAGTCCTTGATCAGCACACAAACACACACACAAAATCCTAAGAGAATAAAAAGAATTATAATGACAAGTGTGTAATATATATATATATATATATATTGAAGAGAGCTTAGAGATAATATGCAAAAATAAAAAAAAAAATAAAAAAACCCAAGGTGTTGGGTGAGCAGGGATTATGGGTACTTTCCTTCCAAACCCTTAATCCTGCTCTACGTTTTCAATTAACCTTTGACTTTTCCAACCTGGTTTCCTGGTTGTCCAGTTAACCTGAGCTTATCAACACAGCCTCCCCCCACCAGGTGTTTTCTGTTTCTCTCTGTCTCTCTCTAATTCAGGGCCTATAACTCCCAGCTATTTTGCTCAAGACTCTACCACTTGAAACACAGCTCCGCTCCAATTTCTTTTTCTTTCTTTCTCTCTCTTTCTTTTCTCTTTCTTTCTTTCTTTTCTTTCTTTTGTTGTTGTCATGGGGCTTGAACTCTGGGCTAGGGTGCTGTCCCTCAGCTCTTCAGCTCTAAGGCTAGCACTCTAACACTTGAGCCACAGTGCCACTTCCAGCTTTTTCTGCTTATGTGGTGCTGAGGAATCAAACCCAGGGCCTACATGCAAGGCAAGCTCTCTACCACTGAGTCACTTTCCCAATTTCCCCCTTGCCTCCCTCGCCCCCCCCTCTACAATTTATTACTGGTTATTTGGAGACAAGAATCTCACAGACTTTTCTGATCAGCAGGCTTCAAGGCAAAATCCTCAGTTCTCAGCCTCTTGAGTACCTAGGATTACAGGTGTGAGCCACCAGTGTGTGGTGCAAATTCTCTCTCTCTCTCTCTCTCTCTCTCTCTCTCTCTCTCTCTCTCCTCTCTCTCTCTCTCTCTCTCTCTCTCTCTCTCTCTCTCTCTCTCTCTCTCCCCTCTCTCTCTCTCATCGCAGACCGAAAAGACAAACTTGCTATCTGATGCTTGCTTTCACTCATTGTCTGGCACTCTACCACCTAAGCCATGCCTCCAACCCTGCCACAGGTTTTCTTTCATTGTCTACTGTGGCAATTTTTAAAAACAGAAGACATTGGAAACATTGGAAATGTCTAAGTGTTTTAGAGGATGGATTTAGAGGATTGTACTCTAGCCATAACAAGGAGTCAGTATGCAGATATTTAAAACAGAAGTCACAGAGCTCAATGTGTGATATAGAAGAATCACAAGAGACTTCCAAAGTCAATCAACAGGGCTGGGAAGGTGGCTCAGTGGTAGAGCGCTTGCCTTGCATGCATGAGGCCCTGGGTTTGATTCCAGCACCACATAAGCAGGGAAAAAAAAAAAAAGCCGGAAGTGGCACTGTGGCTCAAGTGGTAGAGCCCTAGCCTTGAGCTGAAGAGCTGAGGGACAGCGCCCAGGCCCAGAGTTCAGGCCCCACAACCGGACCCAAAAACAAAACAAAACCAAAGTCAGTCAACAAAGACAATTAGTTTACTGTGGGCTCCACATGTCAACGCATTCAAGCATGCCCATGTGCAAGGAAACTTGTTTCTGTCTGTTGAAGGAAACTGAGGGTCTGAAGTCAGTGGTAGATGACTTTTCTGTGACATAAACTCCTAGGGTGTTTGAAAAAAGTGTACATGTGAAAATTCAAATGCTGGTGTCACTTTCATAACTGTTAACTTTCTAGGCAATGTTCTAAAGGTTCTCTTCCTAAGTGGTTTGAAGATGGAAGAACTGAAAGTTCTATTCTCGTCGCCATACTTAGAAAACACACAATCTGATTATGCCTGGAGTTGTCAAAATGTGGAGGCAATGTGTGAAAAACTAAATATGCTCATCTCTCAGACAGGGAGCTACTGGGCTCTGCTGAGCTGGATAACTGGGTCGGCCACCCCCAGACCCCCAAATAAAGCAGCAAGGGAATGAGCTGTTCATTGTGCTCTCTGCAGAGAGCCTGGCGCGCCTCACTTTCAAAGATGCACATGGACAAACTCACAAAATGTGTGTGTGTGTGTGTGTGTGTGTGTGTTTGCAGCCCTTGCTAGAGAGCCCTTGCTCTCTACCATTCCAGCCACACCTCTGGTCCACTTGCTTGTTTTGAGATGGGGTCTCATAGTTGGGGATCTCAAACTTGTGAGCTTAACTGATCTCCCTGTCTTAAACCTCCTGAGGACTACAGGTGTTCACTACTGTGTCTGGCTCTTGCACAGAGTTTGGCCCCAACTTTTTGTAGGTCTCTCTGGGCCAGATCAGTATTCAAAAGCATCTTGAAACCTAAACAGTAGACAGGGATATGGAAGACAGCCTAGAGCAAAGGAGGGTGCTAAGACTTCATCTAGGCTCTGTGTACATACAGCGTCTTCCTGGGACACTCTGCACATGACATTATGTGGCTTGCACTCTAACACTCTGGCTGGTTTTTGCAGGATACGTTACCTTAGCTTTCCAGACTTTGCTTTGACTTCACACATTTCAGACACATGAGAGGGAGTCTCCATATAATCTGCCACTCCCTTCCAGAAATCTCAGCCAGAAAGATGTTATTTAACCCAAAGGAAAATCCAAAGTACTGGGCAACATGTAGTCTTTTTTTGTTTGTTTTTTGTTGGTCATGGGGCCTGAACTCTGGGCCTGGATGCTGTCCTTCAGCTCTTCAGCTCAAGGCTAGTGCCCTACCACTTGAGCAACAGCACCACTTCCGGCTTTATTCTGCTTATGTGGTGCTGAGGAATTGAACCCAGGGCCTCATGCATGTGAGATAAGCACTCTACCACTGAGCCACCTTCCCAGCCCAACATGTAGTCTCTTACACTGGACTTGAAGCCTGGGATGGCAGGAGGTGACAGGCTAGGCCTGCAGAGGGAAATCAAGGGGCTCTTAAGCCAAACAATGGCAGAGTCGGACACTGAAGAAAAGCAGGGAAGAAGGGGCGTTGGCAGGAGGATGTCTAGAGAGGGCTCACAGTGTTGGGCACTCAATACCAGCCGTAAATAGAAGACCAGAGGGCTGGGTCAAGGGCACAGGGTACAATGGCCTGACTCAGCTAACCTAATCTTCCCCCTCACCACACTGCCCCAAGGACAAAGAAGGAGAAGCATTTTCTCAGTTAAAAATCACTGTGTCCAGTGATCACACCTGTAATCCTAGCTACCCAGGAGGCTGAGATCTGAGGATCACAGTTTGAAGCCAGCCCAGGCAGAAAAATCCCTGTGAGACTCTTATCTCCAATTAACCGCTCAAAAACTTGGAAGTGGCACTATGGCTCAAAGTGATAGAGTGCTAGCATTCAGCAAAAGAGCTCGGGGACAATACACGGGCCCTGGGTTCAAGCCCCACAGCTACCACCATCACTAACAAATCACTTGTTGCCCTTAAGGGTAAGGATACAGCTGACGGAGGAGCATGTGCTTAGCACGCGCAAGGTGCTGAGTTCAATCCTGAACACAGAGGAGAGAGGGGAGCAAGGGAGCAGCGACAAGGTTTACAAAGCAACAAAAAAGGGGGACGGAGGTGTGGCTCAAGCAGTAGAGCACTTGCCTAGCAGGTGTGAGGCCTTGAGTTCAAATTCTATACCATCAGAAGAAAAAAGAGGAGGAGGGCTGGGAAGGTGGCTCATGGTAGAGTGCTAGCCTAGCATGCATGAAGCCCTGGGTTCAATCCTCCGTACCACATACACAGAAAAAGCCAGATGTGGCGCTGTGGCTCAAGTGGTAGAGTGGTAGCTTCAAGCAAAAGAGCCTCAGGGACAGTGTCCAGGCCACAAGTTCAAGCCCCAGGACTGGCACACACGAAGAAGAAGGAGAAGGAGAAGGAGAAGGAGGAGAAGGAGAAGAAAAAGAAAAATGAGGAAGAGAAAAAGAAAGCACTTGTGCTCAGCCCATTTCCTTATAATTTTTGGTACAGATGAGTAAAAAATATGTTAATTCTTTTTATGTGTGTGGTGGCTCTGGGGCTTGTATCTAGAGTCTCATATTTTACTTGCTCATGGCTGGTGCTCTACCACTTAAGCCACACCTCAAGCCAGCTTTTTGCTGGCTAATTGGAGATAGAGTCTCACTGACTTTTCTGTCTGAGCTGTCTTCAAACCATGAGCCTCAGATCTCAGCTAGGATTACAGGAGTGAGCCATGGGTCTCCGGCTTGCTTTTTCACTTTTATAATCACTGGCCAAGATAGTATCTGTGACTTTACATAGCGATGTTCAGCCCTGTGACTGTAATAAACCCAAGCTGGCTGTACTTGTGGGAAGTACAATTCCATCTCTGTGTTCTGTCTTCTGTCAAGTGACCTCAGCTCTTTATAGCTTGTAGGCCTCTTTACAGACTCTGGGAGCCACAGGTGTGAAGTGAAATTGAGGAGAATGTTCCTAGTCCATTATATCCAACTCTACCCCCACACCTCCAAAAAAAAAAAAAGGATGCCTTGAACTTTACCTTAAATAGCTCAGCTATCCTGACAGACTTACAGGATTTATTGTTATTTCAGTATTTCACTTATCTCTTCTGTACACTTTCCCCAAAGATCTCCAAGTATGGAACCAAACGGTCCAGTCATCTAGCACAGCCCCCCTCAGGGCCCGCTGCAGGAGCACCCTCTTCTAGTTGCTGCCAGATGTCTTTGGAGGCCCCCTAGCTGCTGTGGGCACAGGCAGTGTCTGGCTGGACTCAGGGCAGCTGCTGACTCACGCTTACTCTGGGATCCTAGGACCCCAGCTCTCAGCTCCTCAGCCTCGCCCCTACCCCTGGCCACCGTCTGCGCGCTTGCCCCAGGCCCACCTGGAAGACGTCGTTTGCGCACTTGCGGCACAGGTTGTGCTGGCAGGGCAGGATCACCACGGGCTTGGAGAACATCTCCAGGCAGATGGGGCAGATGAGCTGCTTCTCCAGGTTGTCCATGCTGTGCGCATCCCCGAGCAGCGGCTTGAAACCCACGGCGAAGTTCATCCCGCTCGGCCTGGCCGCGCTCAGCGCCGCTGCGCCCGGCCTGCTCGCTCCGGCCCGCCCGCCCCCGGTGCTCAGTCCCCTTCGCGCCTCCCCCTCCAAATGCACCGCTCTCTCTCCTGTCCCCCTCTGTCAGCCGCCTCACCCCGTCTCTCCAGACAGACTCAGCAAGGACTGTCCTCCGCACGCGCAGCCCGAGCCCCCTCCCGGTGAAATCCTCCTTTCCCCCCAAACCGCTCTCCCATTCACTCCGGGGCCCTGCACTGTTTGTCCCTGGCGCCCCAGAGAGGAGATTTAATCTTACCACGGGGGTGGGGAGGCCAGGGACCTCTGTGTGACATTCCAGCTCCCGATTTAGCTCGCGTAAGGAGAGCCACAGCTGTCACTGCGTGAGTGACCCTGACTCACTCGGGAATGGGCGACTGTTGAGCAAGCAAGCGCAGGGCGCAGGGCGAGGCCGCCGCGCTGGAGGCTGGGCCCTTCCCTCCCCGAGGTGCTGACACCCAACCTGGGTCTCTAAACCCAACCTGGGCTTCCGCGTGGGAAGAAACCCGGCCAGACCTGGGGATGGTCGGTAGCAATGTCCTGCAAAGGCTCAGCCTTCTTCCTCAAGACGCTGTGATTCAGAAGAGACTAGGGAGGAAGTCTCTTGTCCTACATGTCTGTCCTGTGTGTTTGGTCCTGTCCAGCCCTTTATATGTCACCCTAGGTCAGCAGGTGGAGAGGTCAGAGAGGCTGAGGCTAGGCCGTGGTGCGGGGCCAACACCAGGCTATGAGCTTTCTGAGAAAGTGAGCATTTTGTCCCAAGAGCAGAGCACCAAGGCTACTCTAAGGACTTAAACATTGTTTGGAAATTGGGAGACGCTGAGCTGGGCAGAACGATTTGAGTGCCAGGGACCTATTTTGGGCGGCAGGGCATCAGTCTCTGAGGAAATCTCAGAGCACTGGGGCTACCATCAGCAGTGTCTGGGAAGCTCTGACCACAGCTGTCCAGCTGCCCTGGACTCTATCCTCCATGTCCCCCCCCCCCCATACACAGTTGGCCTTTTAATCTACCCCAGGCACAACTGGTTGTTTGGGGGCCCATCACATACACACTGGGACTAAACAAAAGCTTTTATGACTGCCATTGCTTAGCCCTTTTCCCAGTCAGGGCAGAGAAGTCTGAGACATCTCTAGGTCCTGACCCCACACAGACAAGGAAGAAACGGTATGGAGAGGAGGTCAAACGGTCAGCACAAAGAGACAAAAGTCAGGAGCGAGTCTGTAACACACAATCCCTCCTTATTGCCTGTCATGCCCTGATTTTAAGAACAAGCTTTTGTGATGTTCAGCCTGCAAGAGTGTGGTAAAGGCAGAGGCAGCAGGCGCTGTGTGTGAACCACAGCTGGCCCACAGGTGATAAGGGCTGCTGGGCTGGAACTGAAGTTCAGGGAGAGACGGCGACGGATGAATGGGCCACCTGTAAACCTCAAATGCCTTCCTACATTTCTGGGCACGGATGAGCTGCAAGGCCCATGGTGTAGGCACCGGAAGTGAGACTGGCCTCAAAAGGAGCACTGGCATAGGAATGAGGTGCCAGTGGGAGGTCTCGACACAGTTACAACGAAAGAGGACTGGGCGCCGCATCCGCTCCTGGGACAGAATCCACCTTGCTCAGTTATTCGGATCCTGGCAGAGACATCACAAGTGGCTCCAATGCCAAGGTCAACACAGGAAAAAGAATCCAGGGAAAGTCTCACACCGCTGCCTGAGTTCTCATAACAGGTATGGATGGAGGGCTGCTTTCTCTGTAGATTAAAGTGGGCTAAAAAAAAGTCATTGGAAGACCCCCACATTGGGGGCCGGAGGTACCACTGAGGCAGAGATGGTATCCTTGCTAAGATGGATATCACCGATGTTTCTGAAGTAGGGATTCTTTTTTCTTGGTCTTGTTTTAAAAGTAAGGATCCTTATGAGAAGAGGAGGCAAATCAAGGTGTCAGCACAGCGCTTCCTGCTTCTCTCTTCAATGTGTCCAGCAGACTAGTCGAACAGCAGCGGGCACCCTCACTGGGCCAGCACCTAATGGCAGAAACAGCTGTCGCCTTATTAACCAGGAAGAATAAGCCCCTAGCATTGAAAGCAGACCCCCTCCGGGTAAGGATGTAAGCCACTAGAGTCCATGGTACAAGGATATAAACCTTTTGCGGATGACTACCTGAAGTTAGTTGATAGGCTTTTTCCATTCATCACTGCTGCTCCTGAGTTTACATACCTCACTTTGCTTTGTATGTCATTAGTAATCGTTGCTATCATTATTTCTTCTAAAATTTCTGGGTTTCCCTGTGATGGAATTATGCGTGTTTACTTACATATATAAACATTTAGTAATCTTTTTTTTCAGTCTACTAACAAGAAAAACATTATGTGGCATTACTCATTAGCATCACAAGGGGGCACTGGTGAGAATTGCAGCCGACCCACCATTTTAAAGTTTTAACTATTTCTGGTACGAATCATTTCAGAAACTTCATTTCTTTCCCTCCTTCCCTTCCTTCTTCCCTCTGTCTCTCTTTCCCTCCCTTCCTCTCTGTATCCTTCCCTTCCTTCCGTCCTTCGTTTCGCCCTTCCTTCCTTCCTTCCTTCTTTCCTTCCTTCCTTCCTTCCTTCCTTCCCCACCTCCATGCTAGGATTGTCAGGCAAGAACTCTACCACTGAGCAATATCCCCAGTTTATCTTTTTGTTGAGCAAACACAAGGAACTGCATCCTCGTACCTACCTTCAACTACTGCTTTTAGGCAAGCCCCTGTACCTCATTCCTTAGCTTAACGGGAGAGGCCAGCATAAGGTTAATGACTACATTCTTTTTCTTCACTTTGCCTCCATACCAGGGTTGAAACTGTCACATTTAGGGACTAACCTGCCATTTTCACAGGTCATTCTCACTGCTCAATCCTTTCCTACTCCAGCTCTGATCTCAGCCATTGCTTCTGGTCCTCACCTGCCTTTGAAGGCTGAGTATGGACATCTGGTGGATATTCTCCGAAATCCTCCTCAGGTGGTGGTTTAAGTGTTCCACAGCAAAAGCAGCAGCAGCAGCAGCAGCAACAGCAAGTTAACAGTGTACACAGGACAATGAGTGTCTAAAAGGAGATAGGCCTGGGATCAGCAGTTCTAATGTAGCTCCATTCACACTCCCCTCCCTCTATCCTCCTCACACCAGAAAATGGACAGCAGAAGCATTTGTCTTAGCAAAGGAGGGCCTCCCCTCCTTCCTTATTCTCTTGCTGTCCCCCTCCCCCCACCCCATTCTCTTTCTTTTTTGAGCTAGGATCTTACTATGTAGCCCAGGCTGGATTCAAACTCATAATCCTTCTGCCTCAGCTTCTCAAGTGCTTGATTGCTTCCTTAGTCTCATTTGTCATTTGTCTCTCTCTCTCTCTCTCTTTGTTGGTCATGGGGCTTGAACTCTGGGCCTGGGTGCTGTCCCTCAGCTCTTCAGCTCAAGGCAAGTGCTCTACCACTTGAGCCACAGTGCCACTTCCGGTTTTCTGGTGGTTTATTGGAGATAAGAGTCTTGCCAGATGCCAGTGGCTCACGCCTGTAATCCTAGCTACTCAGAGGCTGAGATTTGAGGATCACCGTTCAAAGACAGCCTGGGCAGAAAAGTCTGTGAGACTCTGATCTCCAATAAAAACCACTAGAAAACCGGAAGTGGCTCTATGGTTCAAGAGGTAGAGTGCTCGCCTTGAGCTGAAGAGTGCAGGGACAGCGCCCAGGCCCAGAGTTCAAGCCCCATGACCAACAGCAACAACAAAAAAAGAGTCTCACGGACTTTCCTGCCCGGGTTGGCTTTGAACCATGATCCTCAGATCTCAGCCTCCTGATTACAGGTGTGAGCCACCGGTCCCCGGCTCGTTTGTCTCTTTTTGTATTATTTTTAAGTGCTTACACAAACGGGTTTAAACCTGACATATGAATTTACAATATAGTGCATCCTGATCAATATCTCCCATTTCATCATTCTCCGTCCTCCTTCCATCTTCTTTTTCTCTTTTTGTGTGCTGGTACTGGGTCATGGGTGCTAGCCCGGAGCTTTGTTCCTCAAAGCTGATGTTCTACCACTTAAGGCACAGCTCCACTTCCAGCACTTGGATAATTACTTGGATATATGAGTCTTAAGAACCTTCCCGCCCAGTTTGGCTTCAAATTGTGATCCTCAGATCTCAGCCTCCTGAGTAGCTAGGACCGCAGGTGTGAGCCACTGGTGCCTGGCTCCTCCTTCCTTATCCTTTTTTTTTTTTTTTTTGTCAGTTGTGGGGCTTGAACTCTGGGCCTGGGCACTGTCCCTCAGCTCTTCAGCTCAAGGCTAGCACTCTACCACCAGAGCCACAGCGCCACTTCCAGCTTTTTTCTGCTTATGTGGTGCTGAGGAATTGAACCCAGGGCCTCATGCATGCAAGGCAATGGAGCCACCTTCCCAGCTCCTCCTTCCTTATTCTTAAGACAAGGAAAAATTGTGTACCTTGAACCAACAACTGTGCACTGTGAAATAGTATCTGACACCACTTTCACCAAAATGTTCATACAGGTATACTCCCAATGAGCCATGCTGGTCATAGATTTCCCGCTTCTTAGGATCACTCAGTATAGCATGGGCTGTGTTGATCTCTTTGAAGATTTCTTCTGCTTGAGGGTTGTCTGGATTCTTGTCTGGATGGTACTGCAAGGCCAGTCTCCTACCCAAGCAGTACCCAAAAGGAGGGTGGGAAGGGATGGAGAATGGCTAAAGAGGGAGGGTTAGGATGAATGGTAGGGACAGGTCTCTAGACAGTGCAGGAGAGCAAGAGGGTGTGGTACAAAGGATGGTGGCAAACAGCTAAAATCTAAATTTCTTCCCACGGCACATAAATCAGAGGGATGTCCTCCTTTGATCCCCAAATAAAAACTTGACATTTGAAAAGGTCAGAAAGCAAGGTAGAAAGAAAACGGCTAGAGGGGGGAAAATGACAGGATTCCACAGAGGAGAGGGGTCTGAACCTGTAGGCTCTCTTGATCTCTTTAAGTGAGGCACCCTTCTTAACCTCCAGCACTGCATAGAGGGTTGAACCCCGTTTGGATAGCTGGCGGGCGGCTTCTTCCACATGAGACATGATCTGGACCAGGAGAACAAGAACACAAGGTCAGTGATGCCCACTCACCATGACTTGAAGGACAGTGCAGGTGACCAGAAAGACATTCAAATGCAAATGTCAGTGAGGAAACATCTTCCCCTCATTTCCCAGCATTCTCTAGCTATTTAGACCCCCAGGCACTCCAGAGCTGAGAGAGGCCTAAGCAACGAGAGATTTGTGCCTCAGAAAAGCCCGATTTTGTCCAGGGCTTGTATACTTTAAAAACCTGTGGAAGCTTAGGGTTTGGTTTGAAAGACCAGGGTGGGTCCCAGTCCTTGAATAGGCTTGGTCAGGAAATTGAGATCTCTATAATCACAGATCAAACCTGCACTGCCGAAGGAAGTGAAATGTTCAAAAGCCAAGCAGAGGCTAGGCCAGGGCCTTACAGCTAGGCCAGGGCCTTACTTCTTCCTCACCCTCTAGTTCCCAAATCTGCCCTCAGCTCCTCAACACTGGGTCCTGAGGAGAGCAGGAAGATGACCCAAAGGCTGAGGAGGAAGAGGGCAGAGGGTTGCTGTAGAGGTGGCGGGCCCTGGAGCAAGACCCCCGAAAGTGGGCCAGAGAGGCCTGGGAGAACCAAAGCAAGGAGCCCAGAGGGCTTCTCCGTATTTGCTGAGGCCCGTAGCCCTGTGCTGATTCTCCACCAGGCCTGGTCCTGTACCTCGGAGTCGTTCTCTTGAGCTAGGTAGGCCTCATATATCCTTCATTCTCCCAGGTGCGAAACTTCACACCGGGGCTTGGTCGCTGGCTGGCTGCGCATGCTCAGTAGGCACCGTGGGGACGTTTTCTGGCGCTACCGGAAGAGCGGATGGAGAGGCTGAGTTAGCCCTGAGACTTATTTCACTCAGGAAGCCGGAGCGGCAGGCCTGGGCTGAGCGTTGCTTCCAGCCCAGGCACCGCCTTCCACCGCGTCTTTCTTCAAGTGGGAGGCCACCACCCACCTGATCGCCATCATGGCTCTCCAACTCTCGCTGGGAAAGACAGCGGGCTGGCTGAAGTGGCAAAAGAGGTATGGCTGCCCAGGCCTTCTCAAGGGCTGTATTTCCTTTCCAGTCTTCCTCAGATTTAGGGATCTTCACTTGGTCCTTTCTCCCCCTTCGTCTCCGAAACTCTTCCACAGCCTTTGAGCTTCACCGCCAACGTGAGTGTACTCCCGTGGCTGCCCAACTTGGGCATCAAAGCATGTGTCTTATTGTAATGATCCATTGGCTATTTATTTAGTATTTTGTTTGGAGACAAGGTCTATGTAGTCCAGGTGGTGTCGAACTGGTGTCGAGGCTCCTGCCTTATCTGGATTGCTGGGATTACAGGCAGGTACTACCAAACCCACCCTTTAAAATGATATCACGAGCCTTTCCAAAAGTGCTTCGTAAATGTCATTGAAGTGTGATTCCGTCATGAGTATGTACTGTAATGTAATTATATAAGCCAGGTTGGATATTTAAGTTGTTTCTAAATACTGCTGTTACCAATCAAGTCCTTGGATGAATCTCAGATTTCTGTTTAAGGACAGATTCCTGGACGTGAAGTATAATTTTATTTATGTTTTTGCCAGTCCTGGGTCTTAAACTCAGGGCCTGGGCACTGTCCCTGAACTTCAGTTGCTCAAGGCTAGCACTCTACCATTTGAGCCACAGCACCCCATACTGGATATTTTTTAAGGTCTTGACACACACACACACACACACACACACACACACACACACACACACACACACACACACACACACACACACACACACACACACACACACACACACACACACACGGTGGTTAGGTTAGGTCTTCTCTTTCTCCTTCTCTCCCTCTCTCTCTCCCTTTCCCCCCTCTCTTCTCTCCTCTGCTTTCTTTTCTTTTGTGATTCTAGGAATTGAAACCAGCACCTTCCACATGCAAGCACTTTGCCACTTAAGCCAAGCTCCCAGCCCTATATCATTAACTTTTGTCTCAGTTACCCAAAGTACTATTTTACACCATCACAGATAGTGGAAACACCCATCTACCTGGCCTGACCTTTTATCATGTCCTCTAGGAGGAAGTGCTTGTAGTGTTGGCTTCCTTTACAGAGGATGGCTCAAAGGCTGTGATAACATGAAATTGAAAAAGCATTATTATTCAATAAGTCCTTTTCATGACCCTTTTTGTGGCTTTGGGCACACTTTCCTATTTATTACAGTTATTCAGGCATATGCACCTTCCTCTTAGGTTTTAATTGGCGAGTCAATACTCCATCTCAATCAATGCCAGCCATCTAGGCAAATTGAGTCTGTATGCAACAGGCATAATGAAGACTGAATTAGTGAATTCATTTCTATAGATCTGTGACCAGTGCATCCATCTGACCTATAGGTTCTTGGTCAGATGAATTAATGAGGTTACTTAACTACACAGAAGGAGCTTATCTGACTTTTTTTTTTTATGGTTTGTACCATACAAGGCTTTTCAACTCTCCAGTCTCTTATCAGCAATAGAACTAGTGGAACAAACCATTTCATTTCTTCACAGCACTGCGAAGGGAGGAAAAGCCATTCAAAATGTAGTGTACATAACAATGGACTCTCTACCTCCATCTCCAAGGCCAGCCTGGTCCTGCCTCAGTCTCTCCAATCTCATCCAGAATCACTGTCTGACTTGCTCTGGGTTCAGCCTCATTGCTCTCCTGTCATTTCTTTGGAGACACCGTGTTCCCTCCCAGCTCAAGGGCCTTTGACCATGTTGTTGCCTCTGCTTGAAGGGCTCTTCCCCAGGCTATACCTACGGCTGATTTCTCATCCTTTAAAGGTCTTTGTTTCATGCCTCTCCAGAGAGACCTTTCAACTGAGTTTCTTTCTGTCCTCACCTCATAACACCTTCCCCATGATTTATGAATATATATATATATATATATTTACATGTGCATTGACGTATTTAAGATCTGGCTTTCCCAGTTGACAATGAGCTCCTCAAGGACAGAGACCTTATATTCCTGGTACCTAGAACCATGTCTCATTCTCAATAAGTGAATTAGTGATTTGTGGGGTAAGCTACAGATAAGGTACCTTTAATAGAATGTAAGCCTGGAGGTTGAGCCACAGCAAGATTTCTTTTGGACCAAAACTGGTGAATTAGACAGGTTGATAGAGTCCATCTTCCCTCATATGGTCCTAAACGAGAGGGAATAAAGAAGGACTATGAGCCTGACTCAAATGGGTAGAATGCCTGCCTATTAAGCACAAGGCCCAAAAGTTCAACACACACACACTCACACGACAAAGATAGAAGATAAGAGGCTAGATAATAGGTAATATGATTCTGAGCTCCTTATTTCTTTGCCTCAGTGTTCCTCCAGTTTCTAACACAGTTGCTGGGATATAAGTGATCAATAAATGTTGGCTGGCTGACTAAAAGAGCAAACAGATGCCTGACTTTTCCAGTCATGTTTGCTTAATTGTCTTCTTTAGTTTTCACAGAAACCCTGAGAGAAAATATGATCACATCCTTGCTCTGTGGAAGAGTCCTGGGAAAGTTAGTAAACATCATTCACATTTTGTCAGAGGCCCTAGAATATTATTACTTCTTATCCTTGCCCTCTAGCATCTTAATTACTCATAGTCCATTATCTAAGTCTTGTGAGGCACTGCTCTGAATGGACAGATGCCAGTTAGCTGCAGAGCAGGTCTGGTGTGCTGTGGCCAGGGTCTGCATTCTGCCTTCCAGACTCCAAGCCCCCTTGATGGTCCTGCTCACAGCTTTTTTCTCACACCAATCCCAGAGGTGTAAGGAACACTCATACCAAGTGTCAGAGCCCTAGAACCCAGTTCTTGCTCTGGCTCTAACCCATTGTGTGGTCTTGGACAAGTCCTTTAGTCTGTGAATCTTCTTTTCCTCTACTGGAAAAATCTGTTCCATAGAGTTAATGCCATGACTCAATTAGATTTGATTGTAAAAAGAACAGAAAAACAGACAAACCTGTGCCAGTGAGTGGCTACAGATAAAAACCATTTGTAGAAACCTTTGCTTTCCCACTACAACTTGAGTGAGTGATCGTAGCACTTACTGCCTCCCAGAGCCATTTGGGTTTTCCAAAACATCCCTTGTTTACCCACAGATAAAAAGTGGTAGTCATATAGCAGTAGTACACACATATACAGACAGCAGACATTGACATATTTATACTCAAAATACCTCAGTCTGGAACATATGCAGTTGGAGAGAGAGCAAGAGGAGAGAAGAGAGAAAGAGAGAGACTGAGACCAAGGCAGAGACCATAATTTGTCACAACCAACAATAAGGTTCTAAAATTGTATTATCTGAGTGGAAAAGGACCTCAAAGATTTCACTGTAGTGCAACGCCTTCATTTCGTCTGCACCAAGTGCAGCCCATGGAGAAGGACTGACCTTCTCAAGATCACCCAGTGAGGTCTAAACTGTCTTCTGACTTCAGGTTCAAGATCAACAGCGTAACTGCTCCTTATATACCAGCTTGGATCCCGGTGAAAAGTGCACATCCAGAGACAGCCCAAAGCTGGTATTTCTGGCCTTTCACGGGTGATGTCAGGTAGCGTCTCTCCGTGCCTTTTCCCACTGGAAGGCATGTATACTGTAGGTGAACAGAATCCCACCAGCCCAGTTTTATTTGTCTGTCTTTTCCAGGCCACCCATGTGAGGGCTTCAAGCTGGAGAGGTGGCCTCACGTTCCTGTGTCTGTCACCTGCAGCCCTGCTCATTGCACACCTGGGGTCAGGATGATGACACTCTTGTCTTGTTCTAAGATGGCGTTGATAACATCTACCTCTTTGGGTTTTGAGATGACTAAATTCTTAATTTAAACAGTGTCCATATAAGTGCTTTATAAGACAACCGATGATTACTATCATTGTAATCATTATTTCTATCTGATCGCCTTCCAATTTTAGAAATAGAAAATTACTTTTCATTTATTTTTTTATTTTTGTCGTCATGGGGTGGGGCTTGAGCTCTGGGCCTGGGCACTGTCCCTG